CCGCCACTCTCGAAGACGATCACCCTCAGCGCGTTCATCTCATCTTGAGAAAGAGGAGATCCAGGCTTCGGGTTGCCAGCGATCGCTGCGTGCTCGCCGCACCTCTCCACGATGGCTTTCAGCCTCATGCCCCACTTCCGTGCCTCTCCGAGCTCACGAGCTTTGAGCGAAGCCTGTGGATCCTCGGCCCGTGGCTCGATCGCCCGTGGCCTCTTAGCGAGTGGCAGGGGCATAGGAGGCTCACTGCCCGTCCCCTTCGACTTCAGGGGCGATGGCCCGAAGACGACCGGAGCTTCAGCCAAGCCAAATCCCAGATCAGTAGCCAGATCAGCCCAGCCCGCTGCCGCCGTGCTACGAACCAGCACAAACAACAGCTCGATCGACGGGACCCACCTGCCGAGCTCCTCCTCGTTCTTTCGCCGATCTGGCGTGTGGAGTTCCTCGAGACACTCAGCGATCGTCCCGTCCGAAACAGCCGAGAGCTTCTCGAACTGAGCCATCCGAAGATCCACCAACCATTGGCAAAACTCATCCCCGAACAAAGGGAGACCGGATCTTCCGAACGGACCTATCCATGCTTGGCCTGAACAGCTGCACAGACGATCGCACGTGCCTGCTAATGGCAACCGAGCGCCGTGCCTGAGACAGGTCATGATCACACTCACTTCCGGCAGAACATGCGCTGGGATCTAGCGCGCCGAGAGGATCGCTCGGCATGTTTGTTCCGCGGAAGAGCCCGGCTGATCAGCCAGGAGGCTTCGGTCGCGCGGCGCACCACTCTCTTAGGAGCGTGCACAAAATCCGACCGTCATCTGAGCCCCGATCGACAACTACTCCGAAGTGTCCATCGTGTAGGGCCCCGTTGTCGATCTGGCCGGCGGGTAAGCCGGGGCGAACGCCTTCGGCACCGAGGTCGGTGGTGGAAGCCGAGGCGGTGATCTCCTGGCCCGTCTCCTCCACCCTGACCGTGCTGATCCGCTCGTACGCCGCCTGCTCACGGTGCTGGAGCACGTCGGTGAAGACCTGAGGCGTGATCGCAGCCGACGTGTGCGAAAAGCGCATGTCAGCCCTCATGCGATCGCGGGCATCGGTGACGACCTCCTCGGCGATCTGCTCCTCGCCGAGCTGGCCCTCCGTCGGCACCTGAACCGTGCTCACCCTCTGGTCGAACACCTGCTGAGCCGAGGTGGGCATGTTCGTGAGCGCCGACCGATCAGCCCAACTGCTGAACAGCCTGCCGAGCCGCCTCGTCCATGAGAGCCGGAGGGCCATTCCGAGCTCGAACGGCGTTGTTCGAGCGCCTCCTGCCGGACGAACTCCAATGGGCAGATCCTGAGCTTGGATGAGCCCTCACGTGGAAGTTCCCATGATCCATTGGGAACTCGTCTGTCGCAGTTCCCACTTGCTCTTGCTCGCCGGCGAACGCACTGTGGTACCAGGGAGCGATCACCGCAGACAGCTGGGCGAACTGCTGGATGTGGTCCGGACCTTCCACGCGAGCGCGCTGGCTCCGACAGGCCTGGATCGTGTTGATCAAGGTGCCCGGCACCGAAGTCCTCCCGCACTTGAGATCGATCCGGTTGTTGGCGTCCCGGAACCGAAACTCAACACGACCGGCATCGTTCCCGTAGCCTTCTCGCGATGAGCGATCTGTCACCCTGAGCTCACAAGTGCTCATGGCATGATCACTCGCCATCACTGCTCCTCTCGGGCCGATCGTGTAGACCCGGGCTCCGACCTCGAACGAGGTCACGGAGACCTTCCATCCAACGAAGACCGAGATGACGATCGAGGGTCCGAACCATCCTTCGTTGGCCGACCGGATCAAGACCTCGTCACAGAACTGCTGCTGGACAGAGAGATCTGAGTCCGAGCGGTAGCCCCTGAAGACCCAATGGAAGAGGACCTCATTTCCATTGAAGACCTTCACATCCACATAGGTGGCCGAGGTGTCGAACATCACCGGCCACGTGAAGGGCTGGAAAGCCGGGTGCGATAGCGCCCGACTCGCATAGGAGTCCCACTGAGCACATGGGCCCCCTGTTCTCGAAGTCATCGAGAAGAGCAGAACTGCCTTGATACCGTCGAGCGTATAGTTCGCGAACAGCGAACAGTGGTAGCCCGAGTTCGGGGGCATGACCAGGTCCCGCTCCGTGAGCACGTTGATCGAACTGGCGGCATTCGAGATGATCTCCTCGGCCAGCCAGTTCTGGAACGGGGAGATCACCCGATCGTCGCGATTGTCGATGATGAGGAGGGAGTTCTTGGTCTCGTCCTCCTCTTCAACCACGAGGTGGCGAACGAACTCGGGTCGCTGCACCGCGAAGGGGTTGTGAGCAGCGGGAGCACCACGATCACGACGTCCACGACGATCGTCGCGACCCCAGCCTCCAGAGCCCCAATCACCGGATGCGGCAGCTGGAGCCGCGGGATTCTCGGGAGCCTCTGCCTCGCCTGGAGTGTAGAATCCCCAGGTTCCCGGATTCTCAGGCTGACCAAGCCGGCGAGGCAACCCGAACTGTGGGGCCATCGGAGCCGCCATCTGCCGACCTTGATGGAAGCCAGCGGGAGGGAACGACATGGCTGCAATCGAGCGAGCCTATTCACTTCCACCTCCCACGCCGAATTTTTCGGTATGGCCCGATCGGCTATCGCCAAAATGGCCACGGAAAAGAAAGATCACGTCTGTTCCAACGATCGCGAAACTGATCTCCTAATTCCTACCCACCAGACCGATAATTAGGAGACCAGTTTACCGATCTACGACGCTCGACTCCGTCGCTGAACAGCCTGCAGTCGCAGCCACTCTTCTTGCGACCGCAACGTGGGAGTCGGCCATGATCGGATCAATTCTTCTCTCACTCTTCAGAAGTCCGAACGGACACCCCCGATCGCCGGGGGGGCGCATCGACATCTGTCGACGATCGCACCATCAGTCTGCCAGGATTCGATCGGCTCCTTGGACCGAGTACGCAGAACGACTCGCGTGCCCTGCCATGGAAGGGTTGTGTGGAGAGCCTCTTTCGCATTGGTGATCACGTCGTCAACGAAGTCGGCGTTGGTTCCGGCAATGTGACGCGCTTCGATCAGCTTCATGTCGGAACCGAGCGGACCCTCGATCCATAAGCCGCCACCTTCAAAAGCCCTCAACTTGATTACCACGTTGGGGATCGGCTCGTTGTCCGAGTCGCGGTGCGGCTTAGCCTCTTGATCATACAGCACAGCGAACGACGTGAAAGAACAGCCAACTCGCTCCTTGATCGAGTGAGAACTGGCCACGAATGGCATGATGACCGGAGCTGGGGTAATGCCGAGAAGAAGGGCAAGCTGTAGAACCGGGGCTCCTGCGCAAAAATCTCCACATCGGGGCCACCCGCCACGTCCGAGAGGGTCAAGTAGGGAAGGTATAGTCAGCATCCGACGGATCCTTTCAGTGATTGCTGATCATATAGCGTGCGGCCCCCCGCAAAACATACACAGATGCTGAAAACGACAATTATCGCCTGAAGCACAGCCGAGCGACGAGTTGAAGACGTGGCATCGGCGAGCGCCTCGAACCTTCTTGGCCGCGTCCGCGATGAGCTTCCATTCCTTCTCCGGGATCCGGTTGTCGCGGTTGGGCTTCTTGGTCGGATCCTCTTTCACGATCTTCTTCGCCTCCTCGTCTTGTGAAGGTGTGCTAATCAGCGCCGGTCCAGAGATATGGCTGACCGACAGCCACGTCCCAGGAACAGACGTCCGGCCGCACTTGAAGTCGATCCGGTTGTTTGCATCCCTGACCCGGAACTCGATCCGATCGGCATCGTTGCCGTAGCCCTCTCTTGACGACCGAGAGGTCACCCGGAGCTCGCAAGAGCTCATGGCATGATCGCTCGCCACCACAGAGCCCCGGGGACCGATCGAGTACACTCGAAGGACGGGACCCACCCTCATTAGCCGTCCTGATCAGGACCTCGTCGCAGAACTGCTGCTGCACTGAGAGGTCCGAGTCCGAGCGATAGCCGCGGAACACCCAGTGGAAAAGGAAGCCCTTGCCATTGAAAACCTTCGCATCCACATAGCTGGCCGAGGTGTTGAACATGACAGACCAGGTGAATGGCTGAAAAGCCGGGTGCGCGAGAGCTCTGCTCGCATAGGAGTCCCGCCGAGCACAGGGATTTGTCCGAGAGGTCACGGTGAAGAGCAGAACCGCCTTGACACCGTCGACCGTGTACTTCGCGAACAGCGAGCAATGGTAGCCCGAGTTCGGGGGCATGACCTGATCCCGCTCCGTCAGAACATTAATGGAGCTCGTGGCATTAGAGATGATCTCCTCCACTAAACGGAGAGATCACTCTCTCGTCGCGATTGTCGACGACCAAGAGGGAACTCCTCGCAGGATCAGATTCCTCCACCACGACCTGTTGTACAGACTCCGGTCACTGAACAGCGAAAGGATTGAGTGCTGCAGGAGCACCTGGATGGCGACGGCTTCGGCGATCGTCACGGCCCCCGCTTGTTCCCGAGGCTGCAGGGTTTTCCGGAGCTTCGGCCTGCCCAGGGGTGTAGAGCCCCCAATTGCCCACATTCTCGTTCGGGGGCAGGCGTCGTGGCAACTTAAACTGGGGAACCTGTCGCTGCTGGGAGCCCCGCTGTCCACGATAGGGCCCAGCCGCAGGGAACGACATTGCTGCAGTCGAGGATCTAATCTTCCCCACGCCGATCAAAAATTTTCCGGGTCGATCGGCTGATCGCCCAAATGGCCACGGAAGATGATGTTACGGCTGTCCCTACGACCGACAATTAGGAGACACATATAGGGAGGTGAGGATGTGCATAAACAGCAAATCAAGAAGCAATAAGATTAGTATGCACAGATTGATATTCGGCATGCAAGTAAAAACATGTATACACATAGAGCAAAACAAAACAGGCTCGAGAAGCTAAACCATTGCCGTTTCTTGTCTCTTGCTCACATGCCACATCTGAAACTAGTTTCCTGCTCCAGACTGCTGGCAGGCCTTCGAAACCATCTGGATGGAAATCGCCGCTTTGTAGCAGGGCTGATCCGAGATGGTCATCTTGATCTGTGCTCCGGATGGCACACAAGAATGTTCGAGATGGGATCAATGGCGAACTGGCACACAAACCCTGCGAATCGGCCAACATTGCCTTGTTTGAAGGTTGCTTACCAACTGTTTGGTCGGCACATGGGTGCAATGGCCTTTTTTGTCGTAGTCCATGACTTGGAACTTTAGGTTGTCACCCGGCTCGTAGTTGATCATCTCATCCTCCATGCAACTGGAGACTATGGGCTTCAAGTGTGTCCTTTCTGATTCTTCTCGTGGGCTGGCGAAATTTCACATTTTACCCTTTTCGAAAGCAGACTGAGCTGTTGAACGGTATTTGTGCAGAAAATAATTAGCAGGGATAACCTCTTCACCTCTGTACCAGGTGTACCCAGCCTGCCTGGCCTACCTTCCTGGAGGTTAAAGCTGAACCTACACTTAGCCCGCACATCCCATGTCTCAGCTTCTGCGCAGACACAGTCCTCCTCATCCCACGTCGGGTTGAGCTCCTGCCAGGCAACCGAATTCCACCATTGAACGGGTTCAAAGCACGTCGTAGACCCTGCCACAATGCGTCCTTGTACAAGATGCAAGTTCTCCATGTGGAATGCTTCTTGTGAGGAATGCCGACCTATCAATTCAGTACATGCTTTCACCATGCAAGCACAGCCGAAGCTATGAATAGCGCAGATGTGACAGATCATCGCCTCTAGAAGCTCGTTGTCACACTAGGAATGTATGACATTCCTCTGACGGTCATGATGATGATGATTATGTGGTGACGAGATTTAAGGACGATGACCCATAATTAAGCACGTGCTTGGAGGATGGCATATGATGCCTCGGCCGGAGCCGCACGAAAGACAAAGCTGGGAACCCGGCAATGCAATAAGGATCCGATTTGCCACCACCTGGCTCGAATACCCGTTCTTTGCTCTGCGGACAACCAAGTTTCATTGGAGCGAGTTCCCGGGGCAAGCATTCACTGCTTATGCAACATGCAACACAGAACCTGGAATTTCTTTCTTGTATTCAAGGGATCTTCAACTGTCGCTTCTCCGACGTCTTGCCCTATTTGCACTCAACTTTACCCAGCACGAAGTCTGGACCCACATGACCACTGTACGGGAAGCACTTTTCACAGCTTGCGCCGAGGCCTACCAGGCTCCAGTCTGCGGCTCGAAGGCCCTGCACATGAGTCGTGCCAGAGAAGGCAGAGACGCCTCTGTCTGGTGATCGTAACATCATGTTTGTCTTATCGTCACACCTCTGTGGATCTTGTTCTTTCGAGCTTGGCGGAAGCACAAAAAAGCCCTCCCCATGCCATCACATTCCGCTTCATCGACTATCAATGCCACTGCAAAGCAAGAGCAACTCGTTGGAGCACGCAAAGGTTGTTACCCTGGGCATGAGAGCCTGCAGCTATGAGTCAGGCTTGCGGCCCACTTAGGACTGTATCACTACCGCAAGCATCTCGAGCAACGCAGTGCAACTCATCCGGTGGTTCCATCTGAAGACAAATGCAAGCAAGCTGTGCGAAATCCTTAATGCAGATAGGGGGTTTCGTTTTCAGCCACCTCGTTCGTTGGCATGATGGGATGGGTCTGGAGTCTTCTATGTCGCTCCCAGGTGTAGAGGGGCAGGAGATGGAGTTAGTGGCTAGTGACAAACACCCCGTCCTCACCATCTTCTCAAACAAAGAGGGGACGCTGCGAAAACGAGGCCGTTGGGTATCCCCCTCAGGGATCCATCGCCCCCCGCCCCGCCATGCAGCTTGATGGCTGAATCTAGCTGTCAACTGTCCAGCTTTCTAGCTTGCTTTTTCTCTCCCTCCCTCAAAACTCCCTTCTTTCCGAGGCGCGCCCCTTCCGCTTTTTGGCGTAGTCCGTTGGTTGGTTGCTTGCTGCTCTGGACTATTCCCCCGAGTGTCTCTGGTCTCCGGGCAACAACACCTCTCCCAAACCATGACGCAACCACACCTCTCGACGCCACACAGGGACAAGTGAACCGGCTTGAAGCAAATGAGGGGCGACTAGCACAGGTTACTTGCATGACATACTAGGATCCTAGTTGACATGGCTATGCCCTCTTTCACAGCTGTCTGTCTCTCTCTCTCTCTCTCTCTCTCTCTCTCTCTCGTCTCGAGGCGTCAGCTTTTCTTCCTCCTTATCAAAAACACAAGGAGTGTGTGAGCTTGGAACCCGGCACGTGCAGATGAATGCACATGATTTCATTGACATGACATGCACATCAAACCAGCGTTCACTCCATATGCTCGAAGTTGCCTCTGCTCTCTGAACAGTCACCCAGCACCGGGTGTCACGGACTGGCATCTGGATCGGCCTTGCGAGCCGTGCGAAGTAAGGCTTCTTTTGGCTAATTCATTAGCATATATTTTGCAACTTCCAGTCTCCGACAGATGGTTTTTAAACCTCACTCTCGGCAATACCAGGCGAGGTCTGTAGACTGGTTGCAGGAGAGGGCTATTGCCGACTCCCAGCACTGTCATACCCTGATGCATCGTAAGCCGCCAACAGCTACCACCGATACACTCACGTCAGGCATGACAGACGGTTTAGGGCCGTTTAGGGTCAGGGAGCTTGTGAAGCCGTGGGTTAACACCCACACCCCTCCCTCAGACCCTCAAGCAGCAAGGCGCTGCACCCCTCCTTGCAGAAACGTTATGCGACGACTAGTTGGTGGGATGGTCTCCTACCTTCGTCCTCCCCTGACCGGTCGCTTGCCAGCCCCCGCACGCCGGCCGGCCCGGTTCAACTTCGGCAGCGGACGCTTCGAACAATACGCTGAACTCAGCAGGATGAGAGCTGCGCAGCGGGTGAGCAAAGCTAGGGCACCCGGCTCAGGCATGATCTGGCAACAGGGCTTGCATCGGCTTAGTGCTCGAGCTACGTGACCAAGCTCCACATGTTCACAAGCGTGTTTCCGATGGTCAACAATGCACATTCGGAGGCCTTGAGCTTGATGGTTGCGACCTTGCCATCCTTTCTTGCTGGGTCGGTCAACTCCTCAGGGACATGTGCAGGACAGAGCCGGCAAGATTCGACTTAGAAATAGAACACGCAACTGCCAACCCGCGGCCGTGAACATCGCAGGAAAAGCGCACAGCATAGTAGTGGTAGTTTCGGCCAAAGCATGCAACTCAGGCTCTGCACTGAGGGCGGAACCAAAGTGTCATCAACCCCAGAAGGATAAATCCTGGTGGAGTATCCATTCCATCAGGGTGGCACATGCACGGAAGAAAGGTGCGTTTGTGCCATGCTGAGTACCCAGCTGATCAAAAGTGAGCTCTAGAGTACCTCGGTGCTACTTGGTGCATTGAGGGATCAATGCGGAGCAGCTTCCAGAGACAGTGCTCAACCTTCAGGTGGTCAGGTGGACCATGGGGCCCATGCCAAGAAGATCGTCAGACCTGAGCCACGCACGCTGTGGCCGCGGCAGCATAAGAGTCTTCCGAGAGTCCGAGTGCGGTCCATCATGGTCCGAGACATCGCATCGACAAACCCGAAGCGGCGCAGGTTGATGCAGCGATTGCCATGCGGTCTTGAAGAAATCCGTTCTCAGCTGAAAGCCCAATCGCGTCGTAGTCCATGACTTGGAACTCGATGGTGTCTGAGAGTTTCTGGCGCCAGGATTGACATGCCCTAGATGCCTTGCATTCACAAATATGCCCTGCATCTCTGGACTCTAGAGCTTGGCGAGAGGATGCCGGAGAAAACGAAAGAGAACAGCATTCAAGAGCAAGTCATCAAGCGCGGTGCTCGTTTGGTCGCTCTCTCTGAAGACACTCTGAGCGGTCCCAGCCATAGAGGCCATCTCGCAGTCAAACTTCCACACAGGGTCCAGCCTGGGACAGCAGTATGGGCCCGCTTGAGTCGAGCGCGCTGCTGCTCTGCAGCAAAACCCTGCCGTGAACTCCCAACCTTCCACGGTGTCTGTCAGCTCCAAACGCTCGCCGTTTGCAAGCTCACATCTGATATCTAGCTCAGCACCCTCACTTTCAACGGACGAGCCCACCTGGATGGCCGATGGGAACACGCAATCAAGTCTTTTCTAAGTCTGGGGGCGGCGGCGTCGAGCTGCTCGGCTGAGCACCAATATTTGCATTTTTGCTTGTAACTTATGATTATTGCGGCTCTCTACGCTTGATCGCCATAAGGTCGGAATGGGTCATGGCACCAGTGCGAATGTCCTTCATGGTAGGTGCACCCTTCGAGCATACGTACGACAATCGCTAGCAACTAGCCGCCCTCTCACGTCCCGGATGGGCATCCCAATAATGCGAGACTGCCCCAGTGTCTCCTCAGCTGTCTTGTTGGCTCTTGGATTGCATCCAGCCCTCCGTTCAGAATCAGCCGGACGTGTAACTTGCTCTCGACCTCTTTAATCGCGCGTACGAGCATCTGCCAGGATCCCGAGGAATGGCAAGAAACATCTGAAAGCATTCGCGGAAGTTCTGTGCCATCAGTTTCTCGATGCGCACAAATTGGCCACGGATTCTGGGCCACTCCTGAGCACTTCCGTGCATGTGAATAGACACAGTTGACAATCACACCCCTCAACGTACACAAAGACTCCGTCATGACCTGGCATGGGAGTCAGCAGGATTGCTACTGTACCAGTGAACTATCAACCAATGGCCCATCAATGCCCTCCAATTTCAATTAGGTTGCTCTGAGGATTGCTGTTCACGTCTCGCGAAGCATGACATTTCCGCCGAGAGTCTTCGTAGCTCACTGTCCGACTGTTTTCTTTTCTCCTGCGGGCAATGCATGTCCAGGCGCGACCGGTTCAAAGCCAAACAGCACGGTGAACTTTGTCTTCCAGCAGCTGCTGCTGAGATGTTGGTACCCTATATATCAGTATACGCATCTTCGGCAATTCAACCCTGCGGAAAAGATCGGGCCAAGCGGAGTTCGAAGCGTACCACAGAAATTATGCGATTCTGAAGAACTCTCTTGCAATGCTCAAATTCCACGTGCTGTCGGAATCCCCTGCCCAGAAGCTAACTATCCACGGTTGAGCAACGGCGGCCTGCAATCCCGATGCTCCCGGTCCCAACCAGTCCTTTCAGGCGCCTGATGGCTTCGCCTGCGCCAAAGCTTCGGCAGTACTCACAAGCTTTTTGGAAGGAGCTGGTGGTACAGGTACCATACCACGGGAATATCGGAACGAAGGAGAGGAGGGAGAGAGAGAGAGAGAGAAGATTGCAGCGTGCTCGTGCAAACATTCGTTCGCAGATGATCGCTTCCTCGTGATGTGACAGGCAACGGCGTGAGTGATTACTTTCAGATTAGTGCTGCAGAACAGCCATCGCTGCTCTCTCGTCGGTGTCACAGTTGCGGGCCATAAGGCGCAGGCCTCCGTTCCCTTGCTTCAGGAGTAGGAAGGCAAGCCTGGGCTTCAGGCCGCAGCAACTTCTTGAACCCTTCCCGAAACGGTTCATCAGCATCGACGACCCACGTCTAGCGGAGTCTAGCGGGCTTTCAATCTGCCAGCTTGCAGTCTTGCAGCCCCGGCTCAGGAAACTCCCAACAAGAAAACTAACTACTCCAACGGCCCCAGCAACAAGCTCACACCGCCAAGGCTCGTCCTCAGCGGAAGCAGCGCTCTTGGCTGGATCTGAAGCGCCTTGTCGCAGTACTTTCGTGCCTCCTGCCAGTTTTTACAATAGCCTTCAGCCAAGGGAACGCGAAGCAGCCCCGAACCCTGACATCCAAACAGAAACTTAGTTGCGTTTGGGCAGGCCACTCTTCCCGATCACGTGAGAGAAGACCGAGTAGTCTTTCAGGCTTCCATATTAGAACTGTGGGGACACGAGACCTACGGCCGATTCCTTACGAGGCAAAGCCATGCAAGTGCTGACAAAGCTGTTGAACAAAATTGTACATTGAGCCTTGAATTTATACAGAACAAAAACTATGAAGTCGATCGAGCTTCAACTGCAACATGCTGGATGCTCGAACGATCCGACTAGCTACACCCAGGTCTGTGAAGACACAGTCGCTCCAACTTAGGCTAGGTCAGTTTAAGAGACTCGGCTCACATGTGCATGGCTTGACTCAGATAAAGGGACAGCGAAAAGACTAGTTAGTTAAGACTTGCCTTCTGAACGACCAGGAAAACTGCGCCTTATTGTGACTGTATAAAATCAACAGAGAAAGGGTCAAGAAAACGAAGACGCTCGACACGAGCTTTCAGCGCCTATATACGTAGTAAGAGGGGACACTTCTGTCTGCGCTGTCCTTTGAATCGCGCTTGGGGTACGAATGGAAGAGGGTGATGGCTCGCATCTGAAGCCGTAATCTGCCAACTTGCTCGTGTGACTAAAGCACACGAACGGCAGTTGGATGGAGCAGAAGGGCAATTAGAGCTTCCAAAGCGAGACTTCTATGAAGCCGCTCAAAAAGAGCCCGCCCACAATGAGATTGCGGACGAAACGGAAAAGAGCTTCAGAGCCCAGGTCCTCCAGCAGACCATCTTGGGACATGGCCACCTCAAGCCAGCACTCAACTACAACAGCTTTGCAGTGCGAGGGCTCGAGTAAAAGCTTCGTACAATGAGTTGAATGTGCTCTTGACGTGGAATCTCAATGCACGTCAAGCGGCCGCCATGTTGGTAAACAGCATAGACCTTGCTCAAGCCGGGACAAAACCGAGGGGTTCCAGCACATTCAAAGCCCTGCCTGCCCTTGACTCAAAATCAGAACTGACTAGGCACTCGCCCAACGTCGAATGCAGCAGAGTGGCTGCATGTCACCCAAGGTTGGGAACATCGTGGACTCGTATGCAACAAGCAAGGCATACGAACCGTCCTGCATACTTCATCACAAAAACAATCATTTGACAGCACTGATATTATACCGCGAGGCTCATGGGCAATACAACGTGCTCAGACCTCTGGGTGTGTGACCATCACCTGCTGCTCTCTCTCGGCTCTAGAGCTATCACCTGCAAACTTGGCTCATGCATCTTGGGTTGCTCCATCTATGCATCCTGCGTCGCTCAGTTTTTGTACCGCACTCACATAAATCCAATTTTGAGCACTACGACCTGCACGACGCTGCTTGCTGCAAATCTTCGTTCACACGGACCCCAAATGTCGGCAGGCTTCGGACTCGAATGATCTCTGGGCTCCTTCGTCTTCTCACGATCGTTCTCACCCTTCGCATCCTTCGAGTCTCGCTCTTTGCCCTGTCCAGAATTCAGAAACCGAAGCCGGTGGCAAAATGAGAAGTTCACAACTCACGGGCCTGGTGGGCGGCAGATGCACAGTTGATGGAGAAGCTGGGCGGCGTGATGCCCCCAAGGTTCGTCGTCGGCTGCTGATTACCTGCAAGGGTGGGACCGTGAATGGGGCCCTGTTGGACCAAACAGAACCCAATTATCCCACAGTACTAGACCAGGCCACGACAAGGCGTGAAGCAACAAAACCAACTCTTGCTGCTTGCACCCAAGCGACTCAGAAGTGAGTTGTGGCAGCCTTGCAAACGAAAGGGTGTGTTCGATCTGTCGGCCCGAAAATGCCAGGCAACCACACTAGCTGCCACAATGTGAACTTTGGGTGCTTTGGTGGTTGCAAGCCCAATTTTACAATGCTATAGTTTCCTGAGCCAGTTTCAGGGGCTGCTAGCCTGACCCCCTTCATCCTAAACAACAAGTATCTTTTGAATCACTCTAAATCGCTCTAAGTCTCTCTCTAAATCGCTCTAAAGCTCTGTAAATCCCTCTACAGCTCTCTGAATCTCTCCAAATCACTCTAAAGCTCTCTAGATCGCTCTAAGCATCTCCAATAGATTTAGAGGGCCCTGATTCTGTCCACGTCACGTTGCAGACGTTCCAGGTCAAGTGCGAAACTTAAAAGGCCGGATCAGATATCCGACCACGTCACATCACAGCGGCACATGCTCCAAGGCTAAGTTAAACAGTGAGAGTTTCAACGACGCCCAGATACCTTGTGGCTTGAAGCTTTTCAACATCACATCCCGGATTTCGGCAACGGGTTTGGGGCAAAGGCCCGGAGCGCTTTAGAAGGATTTAGATAGGTTCAGACGTTTAGATAAACTGGGTCAGGGTCGCCATCCCCCGCTGGCCCTCGGTCCTCTGAAACCCGGGCACAGGCCCCGTTTACGCAAATTGGGTCAGAGTCGCCGACCCCGAACACGGGTATTTGCGAGTAGAGTGGCCCAACCCCCCCTTCTGATGTGGCACCACCATCACCACCCAGCAGTCTCTCATACTTGCCCCTGAACACACTACCCTGAGCCTCGTCAGCTCTCTTTCTTTTTGGATGAACTGTGTCATCCGGAACTGGTTCACCCTAGTACCCCCTGACAGTTTGCATACTCGCCAAGCCACGACGGGCCCCAGATTGAACAAATACGAGACTCAGCTGACTCAGCAAGCTAGCACGAAGCGTCGGCAAGACAGGCCTTCATAAAGGCCTTCTTCCTTTTTGTCTGCACGCTGTTCGTACATGACCTTGCAAGCCGATCGAGGGTTCAAGAAACCCGGGTCCTGCTCCCCTCCATGCAGGCGCCGGAAACCCGACTGAGCCACCCACAGTGGTGGATAGCATGGTCGAGCTCGGCGCGTTATGATTTCTCTCCTGCTCGGCAATGAAGTTCACCTGAGCAGGTTCAGCGCTGCAAGCTGTAACGTGCCACCTCACTACAATGCAGAGAGGCTGAGGGAAGGACCTGCTGCTGAACTGCTTTACAGAAGGTCTTTTCTCCGAAGCTCGTCACGAGAGTCTTTGCCTGCGCCGTGTCTACCTTCTTCAGCATGTTTGGCATGACTCAGCCTTGGACACTCAGCGTTCCTTCGTAGCTTATCGGCGACCGGTCAC